GGCCAGTCGGAGGGGAGAGGTACACGCCCCCGATTGACGAAGTAGCCTTTTCTTTAGCCTCCATCCCCCCACGAAGACGTAACTGATTGGTCGGCTGGATGCACGTGACTTTCTCACTGCAGTGACCAAGCCCGCCAAGCATCTCGCCCGCCTATTGGCCAAGGTTCGTGACAGACACCCGTTCCCGTAGCGGGATTGGCCTAGTGGCATGCCACTCAGCGTTTCTGGACGCATCACTGGCTGCGGCGACTGAACGAGGCCCCGCCCGGTTCTATTATTCCCCTCCAGGAAGGAGAACCCATTCCTGTTCCCCACACAGAGACAGAATGGAGGAGGACGGCCATGTCTGAGCTGACGAACATGTGTGACTTAGCCCAGATATGGCCGAGCCCCCATCCTGCTGTGAGGGGGGGATCACTATGTGAGGGAATAAATGTAAAGATGGTTATAAACCTGGCTGGAGGTACAAGGGGGACCCCAATACTAAAGCTGACCAGACACAGCGCCATACCTGGGGGACCCCCCCAATAATAAATATAACAACACACCACCATGGCAGGGCGCCCCCTAAAACATGAGGGGACACCTATCAATGTCATGGTGACCAAACACTTTGCCATGACTCCCTTCTCTTCATCCCACATGAGCTAACATTGACCTAAAGCCCCCAAAATACATCATAACAATGTGCCCCAAAATTACCCAGAAAGAGGTACGCCACCACCCCAAATATGACCCAGAAAGAGGTCCTCATTCACCCCAAATATAACCCAGAAGGAGGTCTGCCATCACCCCAAATATAACCCAAAAGGAGGTACGCCACCACCCCAAATATAACCCAGAAGGAGGTACGCCATCACCCCAAATACAACCCAGAAGGAGGTACGCCATCACCCCAAATACAACCCAGAAGGAGGTCCTCATTCACCCCAAACATAACCCAGAAGGAGGTCCTCATTCACCCCAAATATAACCCAAAAGGAGGTACGCCCCCGCCCCAAATATATCCCAGAAGGAGGTCCTCATTCACCCCAAATATAACCCAAAAGGAGGTACGCCACCGCCCCAAATACAACCCAGAAGGAGGTCCTCATTCACCCCAAACATAACCCAGAAGGAGGTCTGCCATCACCCCAAATATAACCCAAAAGGAGGTACGCCACCGCCCCAAATATAGCCCAGAAGGAGGTCCTCATTCACCCCAAATATAACCCAGAAGGAGGTCCTCATTCACCCCAAAATATAACCCAGAAGGAGGTACGCCACCGCCCCAAATATGACCCAGAAGGAGGTCCGCCATCACCCCAAATATAACCCAGAAAGAGGTCCTCATTCACCCCAAATATAACCCAAAACGAGGTCCTCATTCACCCCAAATATAACCCAGAAGGAGGTCCTCATTCACCCCAAATATGACCCAAAAGGAGGTACGCCACCGCCCCAAATATAGCCCAGAAGGAGGTCCGCCATCACCCAAAATATAACCCAGAAGGAGGTCCGCCATCACCCCAAATATAACCCAGAAGGAGGTACGCCACCGCCCGAAATATGACCCAGAAGGAGGTCTGCCATCACCCCAAATATAGCCAAGAAGGAGGTCCTCATTCACCCCAAATATAACCCAGAAGGAGGTCCTCATTCACCCCAAATATAGCCCAGAAGGAGGTCCTCATTCACCCCAAATATAACCCAGAACGAGATCCCCATTCACACCAAATATAGCCCAGAAGGAGGTCCTCATTCACCCCAAATATAACCCAGAAAGAGGTCCTCATTCACCCCAAATATAACCCAGAAGGAGGTCCTAATTCACCCCAAATATAACCCAGAAGGAGCTCCTCATTCACCCCAAATATAACCCAGAAAGAGGTCCTCATTCACCCCAAATATATCCCAGAGGGAGGTACGCCACCGCCCCAAATATAACCCAGAAGGAGGTCTTCATTCACCCCAAATATAACACAGAAGGAGGTCCTCATTCACCCCAAATATAACCCAGAAGGAGGTCCGCCATCACCCCAAATACAACCCAGAAGGAGGTCCTCATTCACCCCAAACATAACCCAGAAGGAGGTCCGCCATCACCCCAAATATAACCCAAAAGGAGGTATGCCACCGCCCCAAATATAGCCCAGAAGGAGGTCCTCATTCACCCCAAATATAACCCAGAAGGAGGTCCTCATTCACCCCAAATATAACCCAGAAGGAGGTCCTCATTCACCCAAAATATAACCCAGAAGGAGGTCCTCATTCACCCCAAATATAACCCAGAAGGAGGTCCTCATTCACCCCAAATATAACCCAGAAAGAGGTCCTCATTCACCCCAAATATATCCCAGAGGGAGGTACGCCACCGCCCCAAATATAACCCAGAAGGAGGTCTTCATTCACCCCAAATATAACACAGAAGGAGGTCCTCATTCACCCCAAATATAACCCAGAAGGAGCCCCTCATTCACCCCAAATATAACCCAGAAAGAGGTCCTCATTCACCCCAAATATATCCCAGAGGGAGGTACGCCACCGCCCCAAATATAACCCAGAAGGAGGTCTTCATTCACCCCAAATATAACACAGAAGGAGGTCCTCATTCACCCCAAATTTAACACAGAAAGGAGGTCATCATTCACCCCAAATATAACCCAGGAGGTCTTCATTCACCCCAAATATAACACAGAAGGAGGTCCTCATTCACCCCAAATATAACCCAGAAAGAGGTCCTCATTCACCCCAAATATAACCCAGAAGGAGGTCATCATTCACCCCAAATATAACCCAGAAGGGGGTCCTCATTCAGCCCAAATACAACCCAGAAGGGGGTCCTCATTCACCCCAAATATAACCCAGAGAGAGGTCCTACATCACCCCAAATATAACCCAGAAGGGGGTCCTCATTCACCCCAAATATAACCCAGAGAGAGGTCCTACATCACCCCAAATATAACCTATAGGGATGGCCCAAGAAGAGCATGCTGGGAAATTGCTGTCATCAGGGAAAAGTATGAGGCAGCAACCTGCAGGAGACCTGATAGATTTTTACATTGGCTGGTCACAGAGTGATAGGAGGGCTCAGCCATTGTCAATGTGATGGATTTTGCAGCGGCTGGTCATGGGGGGAGTTAGTAGCCGAACATCTCAGCAGGGTAAGAGACAGCAAAATATGGGAAGGTTCTGGTCCAGGCATCATGATGTATGTGACGGCGTCATCCCTGTGCCAGTATCTCAGTCCAGAATGTAGATGAGGAGCAAACAACATGGCTGACTTGCAGAACTAAGCGCACCATCTCGGTGTGAATGCTCCTGAATCTCCTCCCACTCGCTCCCTTGCGGTTTGTTAAATATACCATTGGAGTAGGGTTGTCACCCGTCCAGGATTCACCCGGACAGTCCGGGATTTGAATGGTAGCAGAAACCTGGACACAAGATGTCAGGCAGACAGGGGCCAGAGCCGGCCTTAGGGGTGTGCGGCCGCACAGGGCGCCATGGCAACAAAGGCGCCAGGTGGCCGACACAGCTCGTCCTCGGGGCTGCTTCTCTCCTCCTCACCGACATGACAGCGCTCCCTCCTGTCAAGATGGCGGAGCGGTGAGGGGGAGAGAAGCCGCGCCCGCAGCTGTCAGGATGGCCGAGCGGGGAGGCGATCGGAGCCGCTGTCAGTTTCCGGATGACAGCGGTTCTGTGCGTGGCAGAGCGGGGGATGGGTGAGTATCAGTGATATTTACCGATCCTCCGTGTGAGAAGGACAAACACTGGAGCCATCGTCTGATCACTCCGGTGTTTGTAAATAACTGGGGGCTAAAGCAGAGAAACCGGCACTCCAAATTTGCAAAATATGTCTATTTATTGACGTGCATCGTGGTAAAAAACAACAAACGTTTCGGGGTCACAATGGATCCCCTTCATCAGGTAAAACATACAGTCAATAACTGGGGACACATAGCACTATGCGTCCCCAGTTATGAATGAACAGGCCGTGATTTACATCACTTCCTGT